AAGGTATAAAACCAGCCTGGTTCTCACGCGTGCACCGTTCACGTGCGGCAGACAATCGGTGGAGTATGATACCAGCGAGAAGTTTAGAGATTATGTTGATTAAACTAATTCCTCTACGATTTTCACAAGAGGATCTATCACCTTTCTTGTAAGTCGGTATGATCACCGATTACAACATTCAGTTGGAACCTGTTCCCTCTCCCACACTGAGCCCAAGACTTTTTCCACCTCCAAGACTAACGCTGAGCCTCCATCCTTAAACGCTGATGGGAACAGCCCATCTGGGCCAGAGGCCGTATGCCTTTTGAGATATCTTATTTCCCGAGAAACCTCCATTTCAGATGGAGGACTAGCATCAACTGGGAGTATTTGTCCTGTCGAGACGGAGAGTGNAAGATGTCGATGGGGGCCAGTTGAACTGAGCCATGAAGTGTTCATCCTAACGGTCAAGACGGCATTGCTGATCGTGAATCAGTGCGCCATCGGATTCCCTAATTACCTACGCCCATTTTCCTATGGCCCGTATTCTTAAAAAGATAGAAAAGGTTACAACTATTACCAATAGACGCAGCCTTTTCCATCTCTTCACACTTTTCTACCCACCACTTCTCGCGGTCATTCCTCAGACTCTTCATGAGCTGGAGTTTAAGGGATTTGTGCGCTGTGTCCTATGTGGCATCCGGACGAAGGGTTCTGCGGGTGTCCAGCAGGGCAACCGAGGTCGACGAAATTCATCGTTTGTGTGTTTGAGCTTGAGGCAGGGTCCGACATTGTTTTTATCGATATCTGTATAGCTTCCTTGATTTGCTTCCACTGTTCTTTGAAGTTGAAAGGTCGTGCATATTGTGTTGGCATTCGTTCAGTTCTGCGTTATGGTTGTGAGACCCTGAATTTGCCAGATAATATCCGTCCACTAAAAGTTTGCGATTATCGGTGTTTACGCAGTTTAACCCACGTTAGATGGAGCGAACGGGTTAGTAACGTGGAGATAAGCCGTCGTGTGTTTGGGAGTTTATCAGGTATAAACCTGCCAGCACACCGAATTCAGATTACTATGCTTCGCTGACTATGCCACGTATTGCGTATGTCCAGGCATCGTCTGCCGCACCGCGCTTTATTCGCCCTGGCCAATCCCGGCTGGAGGAAACCACGTGGAGGTCAACAGATGACGTGGAGACGAGGCATGAAGAAATGCACAGAACCATTAGGTAGAGTAGGTATCTCTCGCCTTCCAGGTTGGGGCCCGAAGAACTACAACTGGTTGGTTGGAGACATTGAAGGATATGGCAGCGAACCGGCATTTGTGGCGTTCCTGTTGTCGAACTTTGTATCTTCTTTCTTCCCGAGGACTGCGAAATTGTGGAACACTCTTCCCATTTCCGTGTTCTCAAATACTTATAACTTTACTCCTTTCAAAAGCATGATTGACAAATTGATTCTCACTTGAATGTTCCCGCACATACTTCACTGATTATTGGGTTCACCCCTTTTGCTATAAATCACTTGTGTAGTAGAAAAAAGAATAGTGAAAGCTAGTGCAGCTTTCTCCAACCTGCGACGTGGCACTACAAAGACTTCAGTCTTTGTGGGACGGTGGTACATCGCCGCGGTTCGTAGTGCTCTACTTTACGGTTGTTAATCTGGCCCCTCCGCGTTAATGATGCTAATCGGTTTTCTGCATTCGGCCACCGATATTTCTGAAGCATTTCTCGTGCCTGGTAAAAAACATTGAGTGAACAATGAAGTTCGCCTTTGTGTTGGGTGTGGATAGTTGTTCTCTAAAAGAAGCAACAGCTCAACACCGCTTCCAATGGCTTGGCCACGTTTGGCGTATACCTGCTTATTGGCTACGTTTCCATGCTCTATTTGGACGCGCCAGGTAAGGTTAAAGGAAACACCGCGGCGGGTAGATCACGATATAATGTGGAGGTATCAGAAGCTAGCTTCAGCTTAGGCTTCCGTTGGTGCAGCCCGCCTTCCAGCTAGGGGCCCAACGGATGAGGATCGCCGTTGATTAGAGACGCTTATAGATATGGTCCAAAATAGAAGTCAGTGGCACTGATGTCGTACGGTTTGCTTCTTGAAATTCTGTACCTCATTAAAACAATAGACTACAGCAAAAAATAAATCTTCAAGGAACAGACAAAAAAATTGTTATTCTCGTTATTCAACTCAACTGTCTGGCCCCTTTTACTTTTGACTTTAGTTTACAGCGGCTGGCTCCTGGGAGAGGATAAACCGGCTTCATGGATATCAAGTGAATATCCACGAAATTTATAAGGAGCTAAGTACAGGAAACGTTTCCAGCGCCACTCGGTTTTGGGTCCAGGTGGCATCTCTAGCCTTTGTACATCCAAGCGCTAACTGCAAGGCAGCAGGAAGGTAGAGCATGGTTGTCGGTGGCTCTCTGAGGGGAGCTCATATGCCATTGACAGTTTCTAGCTGAACAGGAGTCTATGCATTCCTGCTGAGTACGGAGTCATTGCCTCGACTGTTGAGTCGTGAAAGCGACTTCGTCCACCCAACACGTACGTTAGACACCGACTCGCCGAGAGTTGAGCTCACGGTTACCCCCAAACAGATTTGGCCCACCTGTCGAGCGGTTTACCGGGGTGTGGCCGCTGTTGCATTCAAACAGCTTCTTGGAGCCACGTGGGCCACGTGGAGGCCAAAGAACGAAGGATGCCCCGAATGGGCCGAAAGCCCTCCGAGTCAGAGGTGCTACTCGTATCCTTTTACTCTGAACGTAGCGCAACCCACAATGTTCCATTATTCTTGATGCCTTGGCACCAAGGCTGCTCGTCGGCCACGTATTCCCTGAGAATAAGTCAAATTGAGAAAGGTGGCACCCACGAACAACAGCGATGGTCGAAAACTGCCTGATTAGTTGTGAAAACCAACAGGCAAATTACACTGGTACAAGGCTAACAAGTGTGAGAAAAATATGCTCAATATGTGGCGAATAAACCGTTCTCATTCAATGAAATTATGTTTGATCACAGGAATATCCAATTTCTTTTCATAAGACTTACATGTAGTATGATCCCTGAAAGAGGATCGGAAGGCCGATTAAATAGTTTCTTGGCGGTCTACAATAATAAGGTTTGAAAAGTAAACTCAAATCTTTACCGTCACTGGGTGTCTGATTGCGTCGACGAAGTTGAAACGAGATGTATCGCGAACAAGCGATGGTTTCCCAATGCGCGACTCGACTAAACGCGCCATCGTGCCTATGCCATATTTTGCACCATACACTCCACCAGCCAATAAGGTTAATGAGCCTACAACAGTGGCCACCTTATCTCTTTCTGAAATAAATGCATTGAACCCTGAGCCCAAAACGGATCCCGCGGTAGATATGGATTCCAAGATCGTCTGACGATGCTCACGAGCATCCAGTCGAGCCCGTTCCAGGCGCAGCTCCCTGTTTTCCCTTTCGACTTGAGCTTCGCCACGCAACTTTGCTTCAATCTGTTTCATTTCATTTTTGTGGCGCAATTCCGCCTCATATTCGATCGTATCTTAAAGGCAAGGTGAGTAAATGAATGACTGATTCACATTTACTTACTTCTACGCATAGCCTCCTGTTTTTTGACTGATTCTTCTTGCTTTCTGAGAATATCTTCTTGAGATTTGGCCTGAAGCCCAAATGCAACTATAAGGTGAAACAATGCACCTGCAAAGCCACTTGATCCTCTTGTCTTTTACGTGCAAGCATATCCTGGTAGTCAGCCCTTTGCTTCTGTATCTGAGCTTCCTGTTCCAGTGTTTTTCTACGTTCTTCTTGTTGAGCGCGATACTGCTGAATTTTCATTTGCTCCATCCCTAGTTCGTATTCCTGAGGAACTAAGTTAGAGAATTAATAAAATCACACCTTCAACTTGGCTTGGTACTCTAATTGTAACGTCTGTTCATGTTTCTGAGAAAGTTCAAACGCCTCCTTCGCATGTTCTACAGAATTATGCACAAAGAAGTCATTTGATAACTTACTTGAACTCTCCAATTCTCTCGCTGCCTTGGCAGCACGCTCTAGAGCAGCCGAATCAAACCGGTAACTCGATACAGCTTCTTCAATTTTTTTCTGGTCCTTCTGAGATGGAGGGGGCGGAGGTGCTGATGGTCGGTCGCCTCCAGTAGGCGGAGGGACATCACTAACAGTAGGTTTTCCATAACCAAATAACCAAGACATGGTGAGAACACGTTGTAACGGAGAGTTCGAGAGGACCGCGAACTGTTTTATACGACCTTGAGAATATCAG